TCCTTTGCAAGAATAGCAATGGTAATATAGGCACTTGAATAATTAGGAAAACACCATAGGGAGAAATGTGGTTAGGATCTAAGTTAGAAACAATTTTAAGTTAGAATGAAAAAGAAAAAAGAAAAATATTAAAACACCCTAACAAATACCAATAATGAATCCCAATTCCAAAACACCCCCCCTTATTTTCAAACTAGGCCCACCACATGGTTCACCTCCAACTCCCAAGCCCAACGGCGAGGCCCTAACTTTCGAACAGCCCTGTTATGCTTTACAGTCCTTTGTTCCTGAAACCTGACAAATTACACGAAAAAAAGATGGAAAAAAAAGTAGAAATACACAAATAAGGGGGAGGGGATGAGTATACGGAATTCCAAAATCCTGAAACCCGACTATCAAATAAGTTAGGAACGATTCAGATGACTCCAATTCGACCTATATTATTATGTACATCGGTCCACCCCAATACCCTTTCTAAATCATCACACTCGTTCTCCGATTCTCTGTCAATGCAATTGTTCGCCATTTATCTGTTTTTGATTTCATCTTATGCTGTTTTCTTGTTTTCTGTTGAATAGGGGAATCGGCCCTGATTTTAACATCATTAATCTGCTACTTTATGCATCTGGCTTCTTCGGTTTTTCCCATCAAAGGAACCAATTAGGCAAATTGTCTTTGAATAGAGTTCTCTGTTTAGATATGCTGTTGTCCTGTTGAACATATGATAACAAATTTATCTTTGATTTTCCCATTAAAGGTACCAATAAGGCAATTAGGCTGCTATATTTTCCAATTCCAATATGGTTTACCCTTTACATAATCCAAAGTCTAATCTGTATATGTTTACAGCTTACATACTAAACAATATCATTATCAATGAGTTACTGGCTTTTTAGGCTATATTAGTGTTTTAGTTCATATAGTACCAGAAGATTCCAAAAGAGATGTAAATTAAGCAGCAAACAGGAAAGCAGGGATTCCCTCCCTATTCATTATCCCAAATTATCAGAAAAAAATGTCATTCTCCCTTGTAGTCTTACTGGATGAAGAAACTCCGATCTAGATATTGTGGCTTTTAGCCTTTTATGTTGAAGCTGATTGAATGAATTTTGTATGTTTTGAAACCATTTTGTTCTTTTTGTTTATCCTTCTTTATCGTAATTTAGTTCCATAAGTTGATAGCAATCTAGTTGGCATTGATATTCTGCTGATTCATAGTAAAATCTATGAGATGTTACTTTTCCAATTCACAATCCTGAAACTTCATTGCCATTTATCTAAGAAAAAAAAATGAATTGCTATGGGAAGAATAATTGGATTAAAAGTCGAAAAACTGCCTATAATTGGTCCCCCAAATTAGTTTGAAAATTAAAATTATATTTTGAGCTCCTTAATTGTATGCCAGTGAGCTGCAAAATATGTTCTATGTTGAAGTGGGATCCTCTAATTGCATTATTTGATCCAGCTCGGGATATATCAGTGATGGAAAACAGTAAGATTTTTTCGTGCTCTTTATCTCAAGTTTGATTGAAAGTAGTACGGGTTTTGTAAGGAAAATATCAAGGTAGTAACAAAGTTTCTTCTTTTAAATCCCAGTGACCTCCAGTTGTAAACTTTTTTGCTCTTTTTTACTGTTTTATATGTAAATGTTGGTAATTGGAAAGATGTCTATTTTATTTTTTTGCATCGGGTCTCTAGTCAGTTTGCACCTCCCCTGTTTTTTTGTAGCTTAATCTCCATACAATTCATATTTAATTTCATATATATGCTCTTTTTGGTTGTTAGAAAAGCACTTCTTGTAGAGTTATGAAACTATTTGAATAAATAAATACAAAATTTGCAAGATTGTTTACCAAGATTATATGCCTTCGAGATTGTACCCAACTCATTGGTTGATTTGGGTGTCCTAAGTTTGATATATATACATTGTTGAAAAAAAAAAATCATGTTTTTTGAAACATGAGGCTATCTCATACCAAATCATAAACATATTTCCAAATATTAAAAAGTTTCTCTAGGCTAGTAGTATGTGAGCAACTACTGAGGGTAGGTTTTTTTTTTTTTTTTTTTTTTTTCCTCTAATCTACTTTAAATTGTAACAGTAGACAATACTATTAAGGTAAAAAAACTGTATAACTCACAGCTTCATTTGGATCCGATTCCTCGTCTTCTAATTCGACTGAAATCGTAGTATATGATGAATTCGAAAATGTGGTATTCATCAATGAACCAAAGGAAACATATCATATCCTACACATGTCTTTCCATCATATTCAGCCTTCATTGCTACACTAGACTCATGCGGAAGCTCAAATAGAAAAACTAACACACAAAAAGCAAAGGCTCAAGACAAATGGTTGAGACTAGAAAAGTGGTTTTCCTTCTGTCAGGACTTTGAAGTTTCAATTTTAGATTTTGGTGACATCTATAGGAATATTACTCATCGTCCATTGAGGTGTTGGGTTCGATTAATAAAGTTGTAGTTTCATATGGAAATCATGATTAATAACAGTAACCCGATAGCTTATTTTTTGTGGCACTTCAAAGACGTCTAAACTAACTCAAAGCTAGGAACGTATACATCATCATTTTCGTTGCATATTCCAGAGCTCCATGAAATACTGAGCAGGAAGACAAAGATGAGATAATGTTCTGAAAGCTGAGGGAATGAGAAGGTTTCGTATCAGATTATGAGGCGCTTTGTGCACATTAACTAATATAGATTGTAAAGATACACTAAAGTTGCGCAATAAGACTAATACTCAATGCCACAATAAGCAGTTTTACCAATATATCTACAAACAAATTGCACCATAACTTAAGACTTTTTACACAGGATCCACAGGTTTTATATGTTAATCGAAGTAACACTTGATTTATCTTACAACCCCTCCAAAGTTCTTTTTGCAAGCTCCGATAAAATTGTAGAGCAACAAGCTTTGCAGGATAACACACGAGACACGAGCAACAAATAAGGTGCAACTCGTTAGAAAGACAATTGGACCCTTCAACATTGTTGGTGAAAGAAGAAAGGCACATAGAAGGATCGATCCTTAGCTTCTTTTTGTTTATAACAAGCTTGGGAATACGTGATGAAGACCTTTGATGTATTTATTATCTTTTTAATCATGTCATTTTCCTGCAATAAAGAAATAAAATGATGCAAGGGTTGAGTGATATGCATGTCTACCAAAGTGCTGAACAGCTTCATTATGTGATAATAATATGGCACCATAAATCACGTCTACCTTGTAATTTATAGTGAATTTTAATTTGTAATCGTTATTATTGTTGGGCCCCTTCATCAAACAAATCATGTAAGCACCTAGCACCTCTATTTGGTCAAGGCCATTGTATTTCTATTACATAACCTACTTCTGATTTTGGGATTGTAAAAAATATTTACCAAGTCCTTTGAGTTGATATATTTATTGTAATTTTAATCTTGCCATTTGTCTGCAACAAAGAAATAAGATGATGCAAGGGTTGAGTTAGAAATAAAACGTGATATGCATGTCTATGAAAGAGCAATAGCCTCATTATGTGATAATAAACTGACACCATAGATCACACCAATCATGTAATCCACCTAGCACCTTTAGTTGATCAAGGTCATTGACATCATCTAGAACAATTACAGCATTTTTATCACATAAACATAATTCTGATCTTGCATCTTCTTTGTTCCTTGAGGTGTTGTGTTAGACTTGGCCTATCTGACTGGATTGGGTCAGACAATTTTTGCTGACTCGGTCAGCCAAATTTGTTTGGTAAATCAATCTTGGCCCATCTGACTCGGAAAGAAGGCTCTGGCTCGGTAAGAAGAAAACCAACGACCGACTGAGAAAGAAGGAAGCGTTACCAATTGTGCCCTTCCCTACGTTACTCTTTCACGCCTCTGCGCCACTTCCCCCCACTAATCGACTCCTTCTCCTCTTCTCATCAGGTATGTCTTCTCCTCTTCCAGGCCTCTATTCTTCTTCTTTAATCGATTCATAAAACAAATTTCATGAAATCGTTTTTGAAATTGATCCATGAATTCGTGAAACCGATTCATGAAACCATCTCGTTCATGAAAATCCTTTTTTAAATTGATTCATGAAACCATCTCCTTCAATCGCATGTTTACCTTTCTATTAAGAAATTGATTCATGAATTAATTTTATTCACATATTTCTTTATACCCTTTCTGTTTTGAATAATCGGATTTTTGAAATTGATTTCTATTGGTTCATGAAATTGATTCCTTTTAAAATTCTCTAAAATTTTCGATTTTTTGATGTTATGTTCCTGTTTGATGAATAGTCTGGTTTTTGAAATTGATTTCTATTGGTTCATGAAATTGATTCCTTTTAAACTTCTCTAAATTTTTGATTTTTTGATGTTATGTACCTGCCTCTTGTTCCATAGTTGTGTTTGGAGGATGGAATTGTAGATTCCAGTGAAAGATGATGGCTTTCTGTTGTGGGTGTTGAGGGATTGAATTGAAAGTGGAAAAGAATTAAGATGAAATTGGGATTGCAATGGCATCAAATAGGGACCGAAGGCAGAAATGGATTGTGTGTTGGAATTGAAGACAACTCCGGAATTGGTGATTCCAGAGTATATTGAGGTGGTGGTTTGTATTTGAAGTGGGAGGGTAAAATGGTCATTTTTCACCAGTCAGTACATTCAGTTAGATAGACAATCAAACAACATGATTTCTTACTCAGTCAGGATTTCTTACCAAGACAGACCTTTCCCAGTCAGCAACTATCAAATGATTGTTAGCCCTGCTGTGAGTCACACCCTGTCATGATATAGAGGTGGCCTGCTTTCCTGTATAACCACAAAGTGTTGCCATATATATGAGTTATCTAAAGATTATATACGAAGCATTTAATGGTATTTTAGGGTATCAGAAGCTATGATCAAATAAGGAGTTCTTACCGTGATATGCAATCATTTTCTCCCTTTGCAATTTGTTTGTCAATGTATGTTGCAGTACAGTGTAATCACAATCAGAAGAGCAGAGTGTTGACTGAGTTCTCATCTATGATGTATCGCCATAAAATATTGATACAAGACTTCGAATCATCTTGGAACTTAAATGCCTTATCATCATCATCATCATCATCATCATTTTCCTCACCCCAAAATTCTGAGGAATCTGTTGCAACATTTGTTGTTTGCAGCGGATGATCTTTACTTTTTCTAGGAATGAGCTCAGCTGCAAACGAAATCCAATCCATGTCCTCTAAGGAAAATGAAATAATATTGTATGATGAATTCAATGATGTGTTCCGCCTCAATGAACTAAAGGAAACATATCCCACGTGTGTCATTAATGCTCCATCATATTCAGGCTCTGGTGCTTCATTAGACTCCTGCCAAATCTCAAACCGAGAGTCTTCCTGATCTGGCTCTTGCTTCATATTTATATCAATACACATCTCTGTGCCCTTGGTAACAATGCGCATTAAGAACCCACAATAGTCATCGCACCAATCATTTGGAAGACGCCGTCTAAAAACGTAGGCATCATATTTAACATCTGCAAGACGATGCAGATCAATCTTGCCGTCATCAGTAAGAAAATCTGGTGGCAATAGGTTGCCCCATTTAACATGTGGGAGACGCTTTGTAAATGTTTTCCCCTTAAAGGGGCTACCTACAAACCCCTTTGGAATCTAATGTGGAAGAGAGAAACTGAAAAAATGATTTTCAATAGCATTCCCCTGCCATGGAAAACACATTCATTTATTAATTTGTATGTAATTGGGTTAATTAATATGATAAATATTGAAATTCAAAAGGTTGGTAGAGCCAAACCTGGAACATGGAGTCTAGTAATATCTCACCCACAAGTGGATCTATTTCATTCTTCCCGTTAAGTGAGAGTTTCCACAACCATTTACAGCTTGAAATATCTCCAAGGCTTTCAAGTGACCTACAACCATCTGCTATAACAACAGCTATACTTGACGGTAGATCTGACACTTCTACAAGGCCTACGCACCATGACACGTCTAGCCATTTGAGACGAGGAAGTCGTAATTGACTAAAATATAATCGTGAAAACTTATTTTCTGATAGACTGAGTTGTTGCAAGTTGGGAAACTCTAAAACATCAGAGCCAATGTCTTCATCTCCCAAATGGCACATGCTCAGATCCAACTTCCTTAACAAGCGGAGTTCTTGCAAGTTGTGAAAAAACCCTAATGTTATGTTGCCACATAAACCGGGCTCCTGTACACAACATTCTACACCAGGAAGATTGCTGCAACCACACCTCCAACAAATAACAAAATAGTTTGAATATGATTCTATGTTGGATGAAACTTCATTCCCACTATTATCCAAATCAAGATGTGGTGAATTCTCCATCTTCTGTTGTTGGATCTCTGGAAAACCTAAAAATTCGTGGTGCTTTGCGAATGAGAGAGTCTCGAGTTTCTCTATTCCCCAAATGGGTGGAAACATCTCAAGACTGGGACAACCTTCTATTGATAAGCAAACAAGCTTTTTCAAGTATCCAATCGATGGATCAATCTCTTGTAAACTCTTACATTCATAAAGAATAAATCTTTCAAGATTTGGAAGTCCATTAAAATCTGGTGCCATGATTAGGTTTTACATTTGGAAAAGTTTAAGTATCTTCAAACTTGGCAGAAACTGTTGAGTACAAGTGCAAACAAGTCAAAAATGTATCAAGGTGACAAGATTTTGAGGAAAATGGCAAGCACACAGAAAGACAAACACAGTTATACACTATTTATATATGAGATAATAAATAGAAAAAAAAAAAACAAGTTCCTTCCATTCGCAAATGGAAATCATCTAAAGTTTTTGATTGTTTATTAAAATATCTATAAAGCACTTAAGAAAAACAAGATAATAAAAGATCTATAAACCCAAATCAGTTATATCAATATTTTATAATGGTTTTCAAACAACAAAACAATGTTGAGACAAAAGGAAATTTAGATGAAGGATGGGTTTTACATAAATACCATGGATTACAATGACTTCCTAAACAAGTTATATTTTGAAAGTTTTATAATTATTAAGACAAAGGACATTCACAGATTAAAGATTCATGTTTTTCAATACTATAGATACTTCATATTTACACTCTGGATTAGTCATGTATATAATTCATCATCTACTTTGTTTTCATCTGTTATTTAGATAAAGTGATAATATATACAAATTACCTTACAACCCTCCCAAAGTTGTTTTTGCAAGCCTTCGCACAATATAAGACAGCAAAGCGCCCTTAGTGGAAGGTCATTAAACAATAATTTTGCAGGTTCGTATCTCCAATCCATATACCGAAGATTCTTCATGTATGCAGCAACCGAATGAAGATTTTGTTCTTGTTCTTCTACTCGTTGAATCCAGAAATCCATTTTTATTGCTTCGATCTTGTCACTTACCTATGATTGAGGAACAAAATAGTGTTAGGATTGATTAAAAAGTGTCTGTTTATACATACATAATATATCATGCAAAGCTTAGCTTAACCATTACCATCATTGCATCCATAGCACATATTCTAAAAACATCTTCATTCTTGCAAATCCTACTATATTTTTCAGGATTGTTAGGGTGTTCACCTCTAACAATGTAGTGTCCCATTTCTTGCACCAGATCATGCATATCAAATCTTCCATCTTCTGAAATAGTTATGAGAGCCTTTTGTCTCAACACCTCTATTCCTATAACAGGATGAAAACCACAAGCATCAAGAATCTCCATTGCCGTAGCTTTCTTCTCCCACCTAAAAAAACATGCTATATCAAGAAACAAGTCTTGCTCAAACAGTTCAAGTCCATCAAAGCTGACTTTTAGCTTTCCCAGAATACCAGTCTCTGGGATCTCTTTCAGTCTGGCTATTGCGCTCCTCCACTGATTCATATCTTTGTCACATAGAAAACAACTGAGAACTCTTAGTGCTAATGGGAGCCCTCCAGCATAAGAAACCACGGCATTTGAAAGCACCTCACAATCTTCAATACGTCTATCACCCCGGGGTGCGTGCTTGCAGAAGAGCTCCATGGACTCATCCTTATTTAACAAACTAACTTTGTGTATCAAGTCGACTTTGTGAACATTTAATAAATGTTCATCTCTTGTTGTGATTATTACTAAACTTCCTTCACCGAACCAATCATGTGATCCGGCTAATGCTTCTAGTTGTTCAAGGTGATCAACATCATCAAGAACAATCAACACCTTTCTATGGCATAACCTATCCTTTATCATGTGCTTTCCTTCCTTAACTCCCCCTACCTGCTCTTGATTTGGTTTCAAAACATCGGAGAGAATTTTCCCTTGCAATTGTTCCAAACCATTCTTACTAGATTTCTCTCAAATATTTTCCACAAAGCAGCAACCAACAAAATCTCTAGTAAATTCACTATAAACATAAGATGCAAGAGTAGTCTTACCACCACCCCCGCCACCCCATATTCCAATCATGAGAACACCACATGATCTAATCTGTAGCTTTGATTTAAAATCTTGCATGCGAGCCACTATTCCAACTAGGTTGTTATTCACTTTTGGAGTTATTGGATGCAGCATCAGTGAAATATTCTCAACGATTCTTTTGATAAACGTTGATTCATTTCTACACATTGAATATACAAAGATAATTAACAAATGCTCAAATATTTTCAAATAGAAAAAAGTAAAGTAAAATGATACTGTCACTATAGTGTAAGTTAAGGTGAGACATTAAGTACAGAATTAGAATTAGAATTAGAACTCAATGAAGTCCACCATTAACTTATTTTGAGCTTGTCCATGACCCTAATTACAACCAGATCACATTAACTGATCTCGTAATCCTACATAACTCTCGTTGCCATCACATGGATATCGGATAGCTTTTAACTTACCATAAATATTATGCAATCCACTCAAATCCTCTGTTTATCAACATCGTCAAGAATAATCGAAACATTTGTAAATAAGAAACCTATAAGGTACAAGTATAAATGCCTTTGAGAGCACACATGCCCGAATCGTAAAATATGCAAAAACAAAGAATCAACTTACGTGTTGGCATTGTCATTGAATTCCCATCCAGCAATGTTACTTGCATCCACAACAACATTTTTCCATGATTCAACATTGGTCTGGTTCTCCAACTCATGGTTGACAGTTTCTTCCGTGTATTTCCGATTCAGTTCTAGTGGTGCAAAGAGCCATCCAAAAGAGTTTTCCAAAAATGATTGTCCCCAAGATTTAAGTTTTTTCTTGTTCTCCAACTCATGTTTGGCAAATGCTTCTCCGTATTTCCTTTTTTGTTTTCTCGATTCAGAGGGCTTCACGCCATAAAATATGGGAACCACGATTTTGTGTCTCTTATCCTTGCATTCCATGATATGTACAAGTTCATCTAAGCACCATGAAGAATCTGCATAGTTTTCAGAGAACACTATTACTGCAACCTGTGATGCTTCGATAGCCTTAATAAGGGCTGGACCGATTGATGCACCTCGCGGAAGCTTTTCATCGTCCTTGTAAGTATGGATTCCTTTTTGTTCAAAATCCGAGTACAGATGACCCACAAAATTATTACGAGTATCTTCTCCTCTAAAGTTGATAAAAACATGGTAAGAAAAGGTCGGAGCAGAAGGAGAAGAAGATGATGCCATAGATGTGTGTTGATTGCTGAGACAGAATGTATGTGGTTTGAGGACTTCAATGAAATGAACTACACAGAGAGAAAGGAAGAGATAGAATATGTGTACTTTGAGCACCTCAATAAATTGATCTATATACACACATGAGAATTAGTTTTCAAGAAATTTCCAACTGATGAAAACCTCAAGAAATTTCTTACCACGAGATATTTTCAATATAAAGTTGTTTTCACATTGATGATTTGTTAAGAAACAATATATGTGGTTTTTGCACCTCCATTGAACGAAGTATATATATATATATATATATATATTATATATATATATATATATATATATATATATATATATATATATATATATATATATATATATATATATATATATATATATATATATATATATATATATATATAGGGTTAGATTCATGTGAGACGACCTAATTTTGTGAGATCGTGAGACGTAATCCTAGCCACTCATTTAGTAGATAAAAAACATTTTTAAAATACAAAAATAATTGAAAATTTTCGAAAAAAACTTTCAAATATTATTTTCAAAATTTATATTTTCCAAAAAATAATTAAAAAAATAAAAAATAATAAAAAATATATTTTTTTACATATTCTACTAGAATATTAGAATATTCTACATATCTGACAAATCTAGTAGAATATTATAATATTCTAAAAATCACATTACAATATTTACAGTATAATATTCTATTAGAATATTTCACGTATTTTTCAAAAAAAATAACGGTAATTTTATTTCCTTTTTATTTCTTTTTAGGTAATTAAAGTTCCGAAAATAATAATTAAAAAGAGAATTTTTGGATTTTTCCTTTTATTTTGCATTTTTCCTTTTATTTTGTATTTTAAAATTATTTTTAGATTTGGTCCCACGGTCTCACAAAATTAGCATGATCTCAAATGAACCTAAATATATATATATATATTATATATATATATATATATATATATATATATATATATATATATATATATATATATATAGTGAGAGAGAGAGAGAAAGAGAGAGAGAGAGAGAGTTTCCAAGATATTTCCAATCAAAACAAAGATGAAGAAATATAATATCACTTCACATTTTCAATATAAAGGGAGTTGTTTACACATTGATGATGTCATCCTCATAATCAATGATTTTTTAGCGGACCAAAACATGCTATTTGACCTCTTATCAGTTACATCTTAATTTGCGTCGAAAATGCTTCTGTGGACAATCCATTTGTACAAAAAAAATCTTCACCTCACCCCTCTCAGCTTTTGAGTGTGGGTCGAAGATTCCAATAGACTTGTACCTTGTGCATTAGTAGATTGTACCTCAAGATCACTCCGTTTTTACCTATTATCAAGATTTTGATGGAGATGTATAAACATGGGTTTACGTGTGGAACCCAGGTAAAGGAGAAGTGGCGATCAGCTGATCATGTAAAAGCCAGAAGCCAATAAGTAACACCAATATCTAAACCCAAAATCAAAACCATAGAACCTAATTGAAACCAAAATGTTAGCCCTAAATTAATCCCCAACCCAAAATCAAACCCAGATGGAAAACCAATTGTTTGTGTTTGTGAAACCCTAAAATGTGAAATTTTCTTTATGAAAGGATAGAGTGACACTAAAAATAAAACGACATTTAGTGGCATAGAAAAAGTGCCACTAAAAGCCGAAAAAGTGCTAGTAAAGACCCTCTGGGCAATTAGCGGCACAAAAAAAAGTGCCACTAAAGGCCTTTAGTGGCACTTTCTAATTGTGTCGCTGCAACCTTATTGGGTTTAGTGACACTTTTTGATTATGCCACTAAAACACTAGTAGGTTTTAATGGAACTATTTTTATGCCATTATTTAACTGATAAAATAAACGTTATTTTCATATTTTTAATGACTCTTATGATGGGTTTGAGCCATAAGAACTTTCCTATGTGCACATGCAAACCCTAATTGCTTGGATCTAGGTTTCTCTAATTGAACATGCATTGAATCCAAGACTTACAATACTAGATCTAATGTAAACAATTGAATCTAATCATATGAAATTGGATCTAGAACAATACCTTGGATTACTTGCTTGATACTTCTTCTTCTTGGAGCTTAGAGTCACAATTGTCACTCCTCTAATGGCTTACAAACACCAACTAGCAAGAAGATGATCTTGAGAGAGAGAGAGAGAGAGAGGAGGGTGATAAATTGGCCCTAAGGTTCCTTGCCTTGCATGAGTGTCGATTTCCCTCACCCTAGGGATTTATTTATACTATGAGCTACTAGGGTTTCACCTTAAACCCTAATTGAATAACTTAGGCCCTAAGCAATCCAAGATCCTCCTAGATACTAGGCTTGGACGATTTTAAGGTTCCCAAACCCTAAATTTCGTCCACCCTCATATCCATAAGGATACATAGCCCAAAACACAACTATCACATTTGACATTTTATGCCCCTTTATTCAATTAACCTCTTTAAGTCATCAAATTAATTCTTAATTAATATATGACTTATATTAATCAAATAACAATATTATTTCTTTAATATATTATTCTCATAATATATTAACAATAATATCTCTTCTCTCTTAACAAATCATCCTGTTAAGTTGCTATGGTGAAGGCAACCCAAAAGGACCATGCACAACCGGGTCAAGTACTTACCAAATATAGTTATAACCTTAGACACTAATCCAATAGTCTCCCACTTGAATAAGTCTAGTAACTATATATGCAAACACAAACCGATTAGCAATCGTAGCTCTCAAAGACGCTGTCAACTCTGATCTTATCAGTCTCCTGTCCTTTAGATAAGGGATCGTACAGTCCTCTATTTAGATATTATGCAGACAATCTCATGGAACTTATTATCTAGCAATTGGTTTCTTGATCTCAGATTCATTTGACATAGAACTTAGTTGAACACATTAATTCAGTTCTGACCGGGCCCGGCACATAAGTCAAATCAAATCATCGAGCGGCCGTGATATCGCTTTTGTTCTCTTAGGATAAAAGTAACAGATAAACTTCGACTTATATGCATTTACTACTTACTAATCAACTATACACAATAATGCATTTTATGACATCAATTTACTGATGCGGTTTCGCATTGTCAATGCACAACCAATTAATAAACAATAAACCATATATCTTGGTTTTAAGACCATATGATATTATCGTCTTGCGATCACTTGTGTCACATTCCATAAAGTGATTCCAACAAGCATGGGTTTATTCCAATGCTCAAAACTTGTTCATAAGCACTCATGAATGTTGCAACAACCTTTTGCTATATCTAATACCCTCTTAGACAATCTACACACCAATTCATGACAATCTTCATTCATACCTACTTCCAACATATGAACGATTGTGGACCATTCGAATAATTCGATTATTCTTAATAACTCAATTATTCAGGAAGTCAAAACATGTAAAGTGAAACAATAGTTAAACAATCAACATAAGACAACAACTTTACTCATAAATAATACTCTTTTATTTAATCATCAAATGTCAATTACATTTATCTATTACATGTTTTCCAACTATCTAATCTAAACTAATATCGTCTTTCAGCCCAATGTTCCTAGCGTGCTGCAAATGCTTAACCCTACTCAGTCCCTTCGTAAGCAGATTTGCTGGGTTATCATCTGACGATACTCTCTTCACTACGAGGTGTCCTTCTTCTACTCGATGTCTAATAAAGTGATATTTTCTGTCGATATGCCGAGATCTTCCATGATCCCTCGGTTCCTTGGTTAAGGCAACCGCTCCCTCATTATCACAGAAAATTTCCATAGGCTGCTTTATGGCAGGCACAACTCCAAGATCACCAATGAAGTTCTTCAACCACATCGCCTCCTTTGACGCTTTGCTCGCTACAATGTACTCTGATTCGCATGTTGAATCAGCTACGGTTTCTTGTTTGGAACTTTTCCAAGTCACTACTCCTCCATTCAGGGTAAAGACCCAGCCCGACTGCGAACGGTAGTTGTCCTTGTCGGTCTGGAAGCTGGCGTCACTATACCCTCGCACCTTTAAGTCATCACTCCCTCCGAGGACTAAGAACCATTCTTTGGTCCTCCGAAGGTACTTAAGTATATTCTTGACCGCAATCCACTGAGCTCTGCCAAAATTCCCTTGATATCTATTGACCATGATCAAAGAAAAGTCCACATCAGGGCGAGTACAAGTCATAACATACATGATTGAGCCAACTGCGGATTCGTAGGGTACTCGGCTCATCTCAGCTATCTCAGCTTCGGTACTCGGACTTTGAGTCTTACTCAATTTGGCATTACTCTGTATCGGTAGTTCTCCCTTCTTCGAGTTCTCCATACTAAAACGTTTTAGTACCTTATCCAAGTAAGTATTCTGACTAAGTCCTATTAGTTTCTTACTTCTTTCTCTCACTATCCTTATTCCCAAAATATAGGAAGCCTCTCCGAGGTCCTTCATAGCGAAGCACTTCCCGAGCCAGAACTTAACTTCCTACAAAGTTGGGATGTCGTTTCCTATGAGCAGTATGTCATCGACATACAAAACGAGGAAGCTAACTATACTCCCACTGGCCTTGACATATACACATGATTCATCTTCACTTTGTACAAATCCAAACTCTTTGACTTTCTCATCAAAGAAAACGTTCCATCTGCGAGATGCTTGCGTAAGTCCATAAATGGACTTCTCAAGCTTGCACACTCTATTAGGATGGTTCGGATCGACAAAACCCTCTGGTTGAGCCATGTAAATATCCTCAGCCAACTTCCCATTAAGGAAAGCGGTCTTGACATCCATCTACCATATCTCATAATCATGAAATGCAGCAATGGCTAGCATCACCCTAGTAGATTTTATCTTAGCAACTGGTGAGAAGGTCTCATCATAGTCAACTCCGGGAGTTTGAGTAAAGCCCTTTGCCACCAATCTTGCTTTATCCGTGTGCACATTCCCATCCATGTCGGTCTTCTTCTTGAAGATCCATTTGCACCCAACCGTCTTATGTC